CACGGCCCGCTTCTGTCCTCCGTTTAACGAGCAAATTCGTCCTCTCCACGCTTCCGCTTCTTTCTCCTTCTTATTATTATTATCCTCCTCCCCCTTTTCCCCGATATTCAATTCGAGAAACCTTTATCTTATATCCTCTCTCGTATCACCGATTCACGAATCGATGACCGAGCCGTCTCCCCGATAATTCAATAAGAACGAATCATATGGCGGGAGAAGGAGGGAAGTGGATTCGAAAGAGATCCTCGCCATTATGCTCGGTGGTTCGATTTAAAAGGAGCATCGGGGGCCATCCGTATCCCCCTTGGTTCCGATCAGACAGTCTTCCCACCCTTGTTAGCGATACTTGGATCCGTGGAGAATCGCGCGCATGCTTGTTCTGTCAGTGAAATAATGACAATGTCATAGCTCCGGCCCGATTTGCCACGGCGCCCTTGCCTGCCACGTGGGCGACGATTGGACGCGGATATGCTAATATGGCCTCCGTTTCCAAGACATTAGCTTCTCGGCCTGCAGATTCTCGGCCAGACGAGTCACGTCTTCGGCATGAGAGCGCACACGCCACGTCTATCACCGGATATATATATATATATATATATCCTGCATATACGCCCCCTCGAACAGATCGAGCGAGACGCGATCTCACCCCTTCGATCTTCGATTTCTCGTTGGAGGATAATATTCCAAGATATTTTCTTGAATTCGATCGAAATGTTTTATTCAAAAAAAGAAAATATTCGTTTGGAATAAAAAAGACGCGGTTAATTGGAAAGATAGTCCCTCCCGATCCCATTGGATCTCCACCCCGATTTCCGATTAGCCACGGTGTTTCGTCGCGATTATGTAACTTGACTGCGAACACGCAGCTTATATCGGTCTCACGATGATCCCCGATCCGAGTGTTTCGATCTCAACCAGGCGTCCCTAAACGATTTTCACGACGCCACTTTTCCACGACATATGCTTCGATTGGCGTCCACACACACACATTATCTCACGTATAGGTGATACCGATTACAACAAACGAATAAATTTCTTATCGTTTACGCGACCGCGAAAAGAATCGAATATATTCCTCTCCAGTCGAAAAATCGGAAATCGCTGAATCCCCTTGCGGAGGGAGGAAGAGACGGATAAATCCGCGGCACGCCGAAT